CACCCTAACAAAAAAAAAACAAACAACTGGGCCAGAAATTTACCTCAGTGGCACTGCACCTGTCTCACACATTCAATCCCTGGTACAAAAAAAAAACAAAAAAAAACCCAAACAAAATCAAAATCTAACAAAAAACTTTCTACACCAAACAGACTAGCTATTCTTAATTAGAAAAATACCATATTCAAAAATGGTACTTTATGAAATTTATTAAATATAATCAAGGAATAAATGCAGATTTTCCAGGTGTGTGTGTATGTTTGTACTATGTCTGAACTGGCTGATATATGCTTAAAAAAGATATAGATTTCAACAAAAATGCTTCATTTGGAACTTTGGAGCCATTTGCGAATAATTGCTCCAGTACTACTGGCTACTACACAGAGAGCACCACCCACTGTCCACCAGGTAGGAATATCATTAAAGAAAATAACCTGAAAGGTAAAAGCAAAGACCACATCCATTGTCTTCATTATTGCCACAGGTCCTGCTTTTTCTATTTGAACTGCTTTCGTGATACAGATCTGACCCCCCAAACCTAAGAGCCCGATGAGTATGATAAACAGCCTGTCCAGCCCACAGTAAGGAAGACTCCATTCTCCTAGTATAAAGAGGACGATGATGCTTTCAGTGAGGCCAAGTATGACATAATACCAAATGCTCAGAAAATAGTCCACAGATTTTCCCATTTTTCTTAGGATAACTAGAGTCATTGCAGCAAACACAGCATGTCCAATAGCTGCAAATGTTCCCTGAAGGTGGACTGAATAGCTTCCTTCCATCCCCGAAGTGTTGGAACCAAACAAAAATGGTGGTCTCACGATAAGGATCACTCCGGTGATTGTGAACAAGGTGAAGAAAGCATCCCAAAGGCTATACTTTTCCTTGAGAAATATCCAAGCAAACAGAGCTGTAAACACTGGGCAGCTAAAGGAGATAACTGTGGCATCTGCGAGGGACGTTGTCTGGAAAGCATAGTATATAAGGATCATGGCAGTAGAACCAAGGGCTCCTCTGAGAAGGAGGAAACGTCGTTGACCTTTTGGGCCTATAAACCCAGTTCTGTAAATTCAAATGAAGAAATGCAAATTAAATGAACTTGGTATATTTTAAATCAAAATGTTTAATGAAACATTTCAAAAATACCAAATATAAAAAATAAGGGAATAGTAAATTAATTATATCTACCAGTGATAAATAATAAATTACTTTCTAAATATTTTCTAAGAAAAATATTTTCTAAATATAGCTGATATTTAAAGTGTTCATAGTATAAATAAAAATAGCACACAAGAATCTCATAAATAGTACAATCATAAATCAGTATAAAAATTTATGCTTACAAAAAAAAAGGGAAAATAGGTGTTTATAGTAGTTGTACCTTACAAATACTCACATAATTTTCCTTATTTTCCCTAAATTTTCTATGATGAAAATGTGTCATTTTTATAATAAATTCAATTTCACAATTTACTAACACTGTACTAGGGAATTTAATCCTGGCTAATGCACATTCTCTACTTCATGAGTTTTCTTTTTTCTATCTCATGAGTTTTTCTCTAAAAGTTGAAGCAATTATAAATATTAAAAAAAAATTTTTTATATTTTAAAGGAGGGTCTCTCTATGTAGTTAAGGCCAGTCTTTAACTCACAAGGTAGCCCAAGCTAGCTTCTAACTCATAGCAATTCTCCTGCCTCAACCTCCCAAGTTCTGGGACTACAGAAATGTGCTACCATGCCTGTCATAATGCTAAGATTTATTTCAGCTACTGAATGTTACACATTTTTTTATTGTTCTCATAAAGAAAAAGTTAAAACGCATTGAAAAAGAACAAATAGTGTTTGAATAAAGTGTAACTATTATCCAGTATTTTTTCAATTCAAAATTTACCAAACACCTACTCTATATATAAAGTCTTGGTTTGTTAACAACTTGGTGATCCGTGTTAGGGCCAGACATGGTCACTTCTGGACTTCTGGAATTAGTGATGAAAATGTGGCCAACTTTGGCCCATAATTAGAAAAGCTAGGAGCTTGCCATGATAATGAAACATTAAATGCTTCTCAATAGATTAGGGCCAAGGATTTAAAGAAAACTCTAAAGTGTCCTTCACCTGACAATACTTTTATTCCCAAATGGGGAAGGTATCTACATTAGCCTCAATATTCCTTTGCCACTTTCAGGAATTTCTGAAATATAACCATCATTTTCTAAAATGCCATCACATTTTACACAGGAATTTCTAACAATACTAACCTTGGTAATTTTTACCTTTCCACCCATTCCTCAGGATATGCACTAAAACTACTCTAAGTGAATCTACATCATGATATAAAATGCAAGGAGACTTTGGTGGCAGGCCACTGAAGCATTTTGTTTTGTTTGGTACCTGGGATCAAACTCAGGACTTTGTGCTTACAAGGCAGGCATAGCACCTCTGAGCTAAATCCCTGGCCCTAAAGCATTTTTGTTTTTGTTTTTCTGAAGCATTTAAGAGTAGGATTTATTGGCGAATGGAGAGTAGGAATAACTCCTGAGACACAAGAGGGGTCCGAGTGGGCTGCCCTGAAGCTTTTAATTTAGTTTTAGCACCTTTGCTCAAAGACAGGAAGAGCCAGGAGCCATACAGACCCAAGTGGTCTCCTTCACGTGATTCTGGGTACACCTGCAAGTGCACAGATCATGTTAGGGGAGGCATAATTTTAATCCTGGGAGAGTAGAGGTTTCCATAAGTAAGGAGAAGATTCAGTGGGGTAAGACAGTGTTCCTATATTGTTATGTTCTACACAAAGCACTCTACCTAGAATAAGCTTATTTATCTCTTGTAATCATCTCGCTGGGCACTGGGTGGAGAGTATCATCCCTTCTAGTTTACAGAGAAGGAAACTGAATATCAAAGTACTCAGAAAGAAACTATTCAAGTTTACTGAACCACTTTCTGGAGAAGACAAAATCTCACTATGATCACCTCTGTCTACCTAGCCTATCACACTTAAACACATCTCTAATACTAGGAGGGACTACACTGCCTTTTACTTTTTTTCTCGCAAATACTGGTTATGATGAAAGAAGAGAGGGTAAAACAAGATGGGGAAAATTATATGAAGAAAGATTTGTCTTCAAAAGGGATAGTGGTGAAGAACTGTATCTCTCTTCCTTTTTTAGGTATGTGGTATGGGTTTATGGTAAAAACTTCTGTGGGTAGATACTTGTAGATTTCACTAATCAGTGCTAAGGAGCACAAAAATTGATAAATCTATAATAATAAAGCAGATACTGTAGAAAAAATAATTAAGACAGTTCAAAAGATTTACACACATTTATTACTTCTACTTTGTATTAAGAAATACTTACTTTCTGTATATTAAGCAAGGGATAATAACTAGCATTTGGAACACACATCGAAATGCACTAATTTCTACAGCATGGACGTCTTGCACTTTTTTAACAAATAAAGAGGCCACTGACAAAAGGAAGGCAGACAATAATGTGTAAAACAAGCCAAGTCCAGGACAGGGTGCTTTCTTCTTAGCTTCTGAAAAAGATTAAATTCTCGTTAGTCCTTGCTTCCAAGTGTATGTATTACCATTTTCATTTAGAAATTGAGAAAAATGGAACAATGTCAATGGCTAATAGATTGCAAATACTATCTTCTAAGCACATGTACTTTCTATACCTGTACCATTTTCCCCATCAATTATGAAGGAAATAATTTAAACTTGCATTTTAAAAATGCTATTTCCCCCTATAAAATGGATTTGCTTTGGCTCACTGAAGAATCATCCCTCACTTACAAGTCAAGAAGTAGAAAGCTTGCCAAGATAGTGACAGAAATCTTTCAAAAGGGAAGTGAAAAATACTTCTCAATGACAGCATCTTATACCATCTCATTGGTAAACTTGACTTTTCTGGAAAAGAGTTTACAACTGTTATCTGGTTATATGAGTTTCCCCCTCAAGCTTGTGAGCTCCTCCAGGGCTGAGACCTCAGCTGTTCTGTTCAAGCCTGGAACATGGAACATGGAACACTGTGTATTTACACAGTGAATGAAAGAGATAAATTCACAGAAGACTCAAAAGTCTAACACTACTGGCAATGATATAGTCTGAGAAGACCCTCTGTTTTGCGATCGTGAACTATTAATCATATCGTTACTTTTCACTGTACACAATTCATCTTTCCAGTTGAGAGTATGGGCTGTCTAATGCTCTGACTCACCTCTGCCTTGCACAGATTTGCTTCATCTAAACCTTACTTCTTGGGTTGCTCTTATCTATGAAACTTAGCTTTCTTCAAGGTATGAAGTATTCAATTGATTAATGACAACCTGTATGGGCATTAAACTTTTGTTTAGCAATTTTCTATGCCTTAGTTTCCTATTGTAAGAATAGAATCTTTTTAATCTCAGACCCCATATCAAAGGGAGAGCAAACTGGAAATGAGTAAGCAAAGCACATGCTAAAGATAGTCTGCACACTAAGCAGTATATTCTTTTTCATTTTCAAACACAAATACAAGGAGAAAATTTAAAAAACACAACTGCTTCTCGTCAGTTGAGTGCATCAGAGGCGAATGATGTGTCATTTGTTGGGAAACTAGGATTATCATTCCATTCTAGGAAGATACAATGTGTTACTCAGCTATGAAACAATATTGCATAATGATGCTTCTTTAAATGCCATTCTTTGATAAATGTAAACACCAAACAACACAGTTCAAAATCCCATTTCCATCAGATACCTTTGTCCACAAGTGACTGCAAATCATCAGAGTATGATGATGCAGCCTTTACAGGGACACTGTAGAGCCTGATGACCTCTGTAGTCAAAGACAGCCTTTTCATCAGAGGCTTCACGTCTGCCTGTTCTAGGAGCACAGCTGGACAGGCTGCTTTAGATTTGGAAGCCACCATTCCATTACAGGTGCCAGAACCCTCCGTATTCTGTTCTGTAACTCTGTGCTTAGATGTTGCAGAAATAAACTGTACATACCCATTAAAGCTATGAGAAGGAAGCTTTAAAAGACTTCCAAGTTAAGCACCACAAAATGCATGCTTTGGCTGTGGCTGGCCGTAAGAGTTTGGCTTCTAAAACTTCAGAATTCAGATCCAAATAAAACAGTTTTTCTTAAAAGAAACTCAACCCACATGTAGAACCTCCACCCTCAGACAGAACAGAATGAGAAGATTAAGGACAAAAAACATCTCCCTGGTATGTAATTCAGGGATTTCTCCAACTAAACTCATTAATTTTTCTTCAGGAATATTGTAACAACATATTTTAAATATTTTTAGAATGTAATTTTACATATTTGGCTCTTTTTCTTGAAAACACATATACTTTTTTTGGCCTGTAAATACTTAAGGCTTATGTTTCCTCACTGGGATAGGATAGATGTTAGAGTGTTAGAGGGCCTACCTGAACTTGATTTGTTAATGTGAATGAGGAACAGCTCTATTCAGTTAAATCTCAGTCTCTTATTGAATATAATAATTTCAAAATTTTCAGTCAGTAGAGATACTCAAGGGAGTGCCACAATTCAAAAAAGGCATTTACCCATGTAGTATATTTCCACGTTCATATCCTATGACAAACATAACGTTCATATCCTATGACAAACATAACTAATAATATGGCAACTCTAAATAATTCAAATTAAGTGGCCACCATGTACTTTCCCAAATAATACTAAAAACTAGTCCAACTTCTCTATCCTCTGCTTTAAACTGGTGATTTACAATCCTAGTTGAGAATTAGAAATCACCTAACTTAAAAATTAATTCCCATACCCTGCTCCAGGTCAACAGAAACATAGCCCCTATACGATAAGGGGTTCCATTCATTTGAGGACCACTGTTGGACTACACAACTCCTCCAGGACTGAATATGAAGCACAGGAAGAAGACAACTTTACCTTGTTTCAGCCTAGAATTTGCATTGTTCCTGAAGAAACTAAGAAAGTATCTTAGGACAGCCTGACATTGTCCACTAAGGCTATCCAGGAATGTAAGAAAACAGTCAATAATAATGAGGTTTATTAAAATAACCACTTAGAAAAGCCGGGCGTGGTGGCGCACGCCTATGATCCCAGCACTCCGGGAGGCTAAAGCGGGAGGATCGCTGTGAGTTTGAGCCTAGTGCTACATAGTGAGTTCCAGGTCAGTCTCAGTTACATAGTAAGACCCTGTCTCAAAAAACAAAACAAAACAAAACGAAAAAAGGATAACCACTTAGATCAAGAGTCTAAAAAGAGACTGTCAAAAAGTGAGGACAGTGCAGCAGTTGAAAATGTTTTACATCGATCTTGTTTCTCAGAGTGTTATTTGAACGCCTTCCAGCAACTATAGTAAGCCTTATTTGCTAGGACACTTTTTGGAAGTTAAAAGACACCATAAGATTTTTAGCAGCACTCATACTGGTTTGCCATTTTGCTATGTGCTACCTGACTGTCCACTATTCCTTGATGATTCACAAACAAGAAACTTTTAAAAAAGAGTTTGCAAGTACTAACTCAGAATGGCTTTCATCTACAGGGTGACACGATGAGAAAATGACCTCTTCAAGGGCTGCACATCTGGCCAACCCAGTTGATCCCAGTTTGGGACAAACCTATGCATAAATGCATAAATCTATGCATAAATGATCAGAAGTCTGAACATTTGTTAACATTTAGGACAGAAATGGAACAAGAATCTCCTAAAATTCTCTAAGCTGGGGAAAGTGCGTACAAGGAGGAGGGTAAATTGAGATGGAATTAAGAGACACAGAAGTCCCAGGTCATACTTAAGGGAGAAGCCCTAGGAGATGAGCAGTGTAACTTTGTCTTCAAAGATCTACCTATGCTTCCGTCTAGGAAGTGGTTCCAGGGGGAAAAAACCTAGGCTGGGTCTTTGGCAAGATAAGATCCTAACCCCGGGACTGCCTGGACCTGCCCTCTACCCACGAGAGCCACATTTTACGAGAAACAAACAGAAAACTCTCCAAAGCCCTCAACTTTCCTTCTCTGTCAGAGAAGGGGCGTGTACAAAAATCATTAAATTCTTTAGGAGGAGTCCCTGGCTTTGGACACACGACTGGGAACTCCTCAGCCAGCTAAGCCTTGATTTTTAATCAGTTGCTAAAAAGTCGTCCGATCCCACAAACCAGTAGTGCTACTCAACTCTACCTTCAAGATTCGATGACTATGGGGAAGTTTTATGGGGACGTTTTTAAACTTTTCCTTCTAGGAGCTCCGTCTACTACAGAAACGAGTTTCGTTCAACTTCCTCCTAACAACCCCCGCCCGTCGCTGCTGGCCTCCCACCTTTGACGTAGGGCTGGTCACACCAAAGTGCAACCTGACTCCCAGGTCTTGCCCGCAACACTAACTGCAGAAGCGGCCTTAGGGTCCCGAGAGGACTGGAGCACAATCGAACTTTCTCTGGTCTCGGAGGCGGCGTGGGCTCGGGAGGCTTGACAGCTCTCCAGGTGACAGCTCGCCCGCAGCGTGGAGACTGGAGGCGGGCGGGCACAGCACTCAGCCGCCG